TCTAACTAATGGAAAGTGCCTATGAATTAGTTCCAAGAAAGCGGCCGTTCACATCAGGAATAGAGGCCGTTAAGGATGTACTTGGTTTTCCTTTTTTTTTTTGTGGAGATTGGGTTGGTATTCAGTGTACCACTTGTCTAGAGTATGCTTTGCAAGCCTACATAGGGTACAAGATCGAAAAGAATGCATTGGATGGATGCCCGGGCATTGAGAAGGAAGGATGCTTTCAGAGGCAAAAGGCCATGGGGAGGTACCGTCTGTGATCCGTGGATCTCCGATCAGGAAACCGTATCCAAGCTCCGTGGCTAGTCTACGATCTTTGGAATTTTCTAACTTAGTAAACTGAAACATCTTAGTAGCTAACGGAAGGGAAATCAACCGAGACCCCGTTACTAGCGGCGAGCGAGAGAGGATTGAGTGTTTAAAGAAAAACAAACACGAAGCTTCGTTCCTCAGCAAAGTGTTCACTTCTTTATTGCCAGGTTTCATTCGATTTGTTGTGGATTGGATGATGGAAAAACCAGCAAGCGACGGCTTCAAAGCTTACCTTATTTAGAAAAGGAGAAAAGGCTTTTTTATAGATGTTGAGGTTGAGTAAGGGGGGCGGAGCTTGAAGAGCGAAGTGAGCCGTGCTGGCCTAGCAACGTTTTTCAGCAGCAAGCTACGGTCTAATGACCTCCTAACCTAGGTTGGGGCGAAAACTCCAAAATCCAAAACATTGGGTAGGGTTCCAAACCTTTCTCTAATAATAAGGTAAGCTTTCAAGCCGCTGCCCTTTAAAGGAGCAGGCGCAGTGAACTATAATTGTGAAAGATTGGAAGATCTGGCCAAAGAAGGTGATAGCCCTGTAGATTCGTTCTCATGGTTCGATCCTTCCCAGTAAAACACGGCGTGTTCGACTTCTGACCGCTTTTATGCGAGAAAGGGGGACCACCCTCTAAGCCTAAGTATTCCTCAATGACTGATAGCGTACAAGTACCATGAGGGAAAGGTGGAAAGAACCCTATTTAGGAAGTGCAATAGAGAACTTGAGATCCGATCCGAACAATCAGTCGAAGGAGCGAAGCTTAGAGCCTTTACTTTATGTAAAGTGCACTCACTCTAACAGCGTACCTTTTGCATGATGGGTCAGCGAGGAAATGGGAATAGTGGCTTAAGCCAGTAGGTGTAGGCGCTTTCCAACGGTGGATTCTTCTAGTTCTTTCTATTTGACCTGAAACCGATTGATCTAGCCATGAGCAGGTTGAAGAGAGCTCTAACAGACCTTGGAGGACCGAACCCATGTATGTGGCAAAATACGGGGATGACCTGTGGCTAGGGGTGAAAGGCCAACCAAGATCGGATATAGCTGGTTTCCCGCGAAATCTATTTCAGTAGAGCGTATGATGTCGATGGCTCGAGGTAGAGCACTCAATGGGCTACGGGTGGCCTCATTTTGCCTTACCAACCCCAGGTAAACTCCGAATACAGGCCTAGATCATTTGTACAGACAGACTTTTTGGGTGCTTAGATCCAAAGTCGAGAGGGAAATAACCAAGATCATACGCTAAGGTCCCTAAGCAATCACTTAGTGGAAAAGGAAGTGATCGAGCGATGAGAACCAGGAGGTGGGATTGGAAGCAACTATCCTTTGAAGAAAGTGTAATACCTCACTGGTCTAGCTCCATGGCACTGAAAATGTATCAGGGCTCAACTGATTCACCGAAGCGACGAGACCTTGAAAGCTGCTTTTTCAAGTGTCAGTAGCGGAATCAATCGGGGAATGTTTTTGGTGACAAGACCTGGAGATATCAGAAGTGAGAATGCTAAGTAACGAAAAATCTTGTGAAAAACACGACCGCCTGCCAGTGGAAGGTTTTCTACGTTAGTCAATCTACGCAGTGTGAATCGGTCCCTAAGGAACTCCCGAAAGGGCTGCCGTCCTACACGAAAGTGACGAAGTTGCTTTGACTACAGAACCATGCTTGTCAGTTGGAGCAAATTGGATGATCGGGCTGAGGGCTGCCCCCTCTTCCCCTCACTCTCATTTCCCTAATATGACCTTGAGTCATCAAAGCCTTTCTGACTCGGCCTGGTCCGATCGCCCTACGCAACTGGCGCTTCAAAAGGCGAAACTCTCGGTCGTAGTTTGGCGACCTATCTTCAGTAGGGGCCTTTAGTCTTTTGATTAGAGTAGGGGTCGCGAGAGAGCAGAGGGTACTGCCCTGCCATAGTCACGAGTCTGTTTATAGTCACGACTGTTGTCTTAGTCAACAAGGTTGAAACTTCCAGGAAAAAACTTCGAATTGGGAGAGCGATCCTCCCTGTGAACTGACCGTACCCCAAACCGACACAGGTGAACAAGGAGAGTATAACAGGGAGCTTGAGAGAACCATGTCAAAGGAACTCGGCAAAATGACCCCACAACTTTGGGATAAGAGGTGCTCTCCTATCTTTTGATTAGGAAAGCGGCACATACTAGGGGGTAGAGACCATTTATTAAAAACACAGGACTCTGCTAAGTGGTAACACGATGTATAGAGTCTGACACTTGCCCGGTGCTGGAAGGTCAGAAGGAGAAGTGTTATAAGCTTTGAATGGAAGCCCCGGTAAACGGCGGCAGTAACTCTAAGTGTCCTAAGGTAGCAAAATTCCTTTTCAATAAGTAGCGACCTGCACGAAATATGTAACGTCTTCCCCATTGTCTCCGACATGGACCCGATGAAATTGAATTCTCCGTGAAGATGTGGAGTACCAATGGCTAGACGGTAAGACCCCGTGCACCTTAACTATAGCTTCACAGTGACAACCTTAATTGAATGTGTAGGATAGGTGGGAGGTAGTGACACACAACGACCAATCCTGAAAGACCACTCTTTCATCTAAGGATGCCTAATAGCCGCACCGATCATTCGAGGGGAGGCGGGACACTGCGAGGTGGGTAGTTTATCTGGTGCGGATGCCTCCTAAAGAGTAATGGAGGTGTGTGAAGGTAGGCTCAAGCTAAGATTCTGCTCGTGAGCGTAATGGTATAAGCCTGCCTGACTGTGAGACCGACTGGTCGAACAGAGACGAAAGTCGGCCATAGTGATCCGGGAGTCCCATGTGGAAGGGCTCTTGCTCAACGGATCAAAGGTATGCCAGGGATAATAGACTGATGACTCCCAAAAGCTCTTATCGATGGAGTCGTTTGGCACCTCGATGTCGACTCATCACATCCTAGAGTTGAAGAAGTTCCCAAGGGTTTGGTTGTTCGCCGATTCAAATGGTACGTGAGTTGGGTTTAGAATGTCATGAGACAGTTCGGTTCCTATCTACCGTTGGTGTTAAAGAGAGAGCTGCGAGGAGCCAACCCTAGTACGAGAGTACTGGGTTTGGCTAACCTATGGTTTACCGGTTGTTATGCTAATAGCAGCGCCGGGAAGCTAAGTTGGTATGGAAGAACTGCTGCGCCGCGGGAAATCTTTCTCTATGCAAGTTTTCGGATGAGGTTCTTGAACAGAACTTCGATAGGTGAGAGGTGTAAGCACCGCAACGTGTGAAGCGATCTCGTACTAAACAAAACAACTTTCACTTTCCATAACAAGAATGAAAGAAAGTCAACCTATTCCTGAAATTGCGGTCAGTCTCGCTACCTCTTTAGTTGTCGCCCCCTACTTGGTCATTCGCAATTACTACCACAAGAAAGTCGCCCCTATGTCTAAAGGGGCTTATGCACTCCACGACTTTCTTATGTTATGGGGTCTCAAAGACTTAATTTAGCTACCAACCCTAGTCAGCAAGATGAAAAACTTTCTCAAGAATATGGAGAGCGGGGACTCTTTAACCTGGCAAAATATAGATAAAGAAATGAAAAAATGGGGGGGGGGGTGGGTGGGTCGTGGTCTATGCTGAATTTTTTCTTAGATAGAATGAATGGAAAAGGGGTTCTTGTGTTGTGGTTTTCGTAGTTGCAAGAAATTTTTTTCTCGAGAAAAGGTCCCCTCCTTCAATATCTTGATTGGGTCGACCAGGCCAGATCATGAGTGAATAGAAAAAAAATGTACATAGCTGTTCCAACTGAAATACTTGGAATAATTCTACCACTTCTACTAGGAGTAGCCTTTTTAGTACTAGCTGAACGTAAAGTAATGGCTTTTGTGCAACGTCAAAAGAGTCCTGATGTAGTGGGATTGTTTGGATTGTTACAACCTCTAGCAGATGGTTTGAAATTGATTCTAAAAGAACCTATTTCACCAAGTAGTGCTAATTTCTCCATTTTTAGAATGGCTCTAGTGGCTACATTCATGTTAAGTCTGGTCACTCGGGCCTTTGTACCTTTTGATTATGGTATGGTATATTAGATCCGAATATAGGGCTACTTTATTTGTTTGCCATATCTTCGCTAGGTGTTTATGGAATTATTATAGCAGGTTGGTCTAGTAATTAGAGGGCGGCCATTCGGTCGCATATGATGCTAGGACCGATAGGTTCAAAATGGGTTTGTGCCGCAGGTGTTGAACGATCTACTCTACACAGGTGTGGGGTTACAGGGCTAGGGCTCATAAACCCTTTCTTTCATTTATCAATAGGTCCCTACCCTGATCGGTCACTTTTCTGGGCCGGGGTCGATAAGTGGAAGTCACAAAAAGAAATCTTTCTCTTCGCACCTCAGATCAAGAGGAAGGGTTGCTTGTCATGCTGGCCTATATATAATAATAAGAAATTTCTTTCTATTTCATATTATTATATAATTATAAGAAAATTAGAAAGATTCGCTTTCTTTTAACCGGCTCCTTCTTCTTTGTCAATGCTACTAAGCACCTATAGGTTTGCCTACTTTACTTATTAAAGATAATGAGAATGGGTTATTCAAACAAAAAGGAAAAGGCCCTACTTAGTTGACTGACAATGACAAAGGCTTGCGAAACTAAGTAGGGCCTGAGGCCCCTTGCGAATCCGTAAATCTGAGGAGCATGCCGCAACAAAAGGATGGTCCCCTATGCATTTCATTTTTCCTTAAGGGAAAAAAAGTACCCCCATCATAGTGAACCTCTCCTTGTGATCGGAATGAGGTAGATGCCTCCCAGCCAGGGGGCGAATCTAATCAGAGTTTCCTTAGGTAGCCACCGACCTACAGTTATCCTTAAACTTCCGTGCTTGGTGGAGAGGAAGTGAACAAAAGTACGCTCGCTTGCTGTCTTGTTCTTTGTTGTGAACTGGGATCGCTCGCCAGCTAGATCAGATTGGAGCAAGATTTTATGAGAACATATTCCCCATATTCGGGTACAAGGGGCGGAACGACCTCTCGATCTAGTTACTGTAGCCCTGGAAGAAAAACGTTGTCTAGGCGTTCCCCGTTGCTCCGATCACCCTTATGCCTAGGACGTTGTCTAGGCCAAGAGCCATAGTTAGTTTTTGTTTCCATTTGGTTGTTTCTTCCTCTTTTTGATACCGGCAAGACCCAACTAGATGATTTCTGCTGGTTGGTAGTGAGAGGACTCTTAGTACCTCTATACCCAAAAGAGGGCGCTGGTTAAAAAGCAATCATTTGATTTACTTTCTTGCTCTCCCTTAGCACCGAGAAAGGAATCTATCTATCTGCCTAGCTTTGGTAGATTTCCCCCAACGCAATCCATAGAAATTCCACGAATCATTTGGTGGATAAGTCCGATGACATAGCAGTAGTGCGGAATTGAGTTTCTTGTCGGGTGGATCTGATCTATAGTTAGGGGGCAATACATACCAAAAGGTTCGAAGAAGGAAGGCGCATAAGAGCATATAACCAACCTACCCTTTTGTATAACCTATTCACATTACTGAAGCGGTTGGATGCATAAGGGAAGTGCACATTTGTGAGACCTTAGTCGGGATGCATAGGTGAGTCAACCTACGAGCACGGAAGAGCATGGTACCTCTACCCCTCTCTAAGTAAAGGTAAAATTCTTAGCCCCGTAGATGACTCTATCTAAATACAATAGAGACAGCCATTTTTGGCTGCTCGTTTCGTATCTTGATGAAAGAGTAGGCTTAATTAATGTAATGTAATAGGGGTCAGATCAATAGTAGCTATGCTATTTCCCTACTGATTTAAGGCCTCTGCCCGATCCCGAATGCACATTTTTTCGGGTTCATCTTCAATTGATGTTTTCTTAACCTTTCGAAGACCTTGCGTAAATTTTCGATGTGGCGAGTTCTTTCTTTTGAAAACACTACCAAATCGTCCACGTATATGTTATTTAGGAGGTCACCTGTAATTTGTGTCATCACTCTTTGATATGTTGCACTTTCTTTTTCTTTTTTTGGGCATATCGTAGTAAGGAAAGGAAGTGAGGGCACTCATTCGAATCGAATAGCTGAAACTACTATAACTCCTATTTTTCTGCTTTAAGAGAAGCCTTCTAGCTCGTCTGAAAGCGTTGAAGAGAGAGATAGGACATTCTTGAGGAAGCATCTGATAACTACGAGTCCTTTTTCAAGCTAACTGAATGCCTATCTGCTGCTGGTTCTGTTCCACTATCTGCTCTTACTGCTCTCGTTGTCGGTGTGACAGTCTGAGTAGATGGTGCTCTCTTTCCTGTTGTTTTTGGGGTTCATAACCGGTGCTATTGAATCTGCAGTTAAGGGAGTTTCACCAGTTCTTGGAATAAGAGCTCTGGGACTTCATGGCTTTGAGGGAGGTTTAGCCTAGCCCTAAGCCTTTTCGGAATAGAATGCTTCTTTGACAGAGCTTCAAGAAAGAAGGAGGAAGGCCCTCTTTTCGCCAATGGATCACTTAGTCGAAATAAGCGAGCTTAGGTTGATGCGGAATAAGCCATTTTTCCCCTGTTTCCATGGAAATGTGTCGAAG